CTGGAGGCGGCGGGACAGCCCCGCGGCGGACAGGAGCCACGTCAGGTGGTCCTCCCCGTACCTGGAGTGTGAGAATGGGAATTACAAACCCGGCTGGCTGGTGACTCTCTCCGCAGCTTTCTATGGGCTGCAGCCAAACCTGCTTCCCGAGTTCAGGTAGGCAAAAGTCTCCCCCCTGCTCCCTTACTAGGCACAGGGGTGCTGGAAACCACCCACTTGTGCAGGGCACCTCAGCCGGTTCTGGACTAGCTACCTGGTCTGAGCCCCCAGCGACTTGAGCTTGCCTTCAGAGGTAGTAGCCTCTTGGCCAAGCCTTGCCTTGGCATGTGCCAGGGTGCCACTGTTCCTTGGTATTTTACAGTCTACGAACTACCGGGTTTTGTAAAATCACCTCTTTGAGCGGGGAGGTCTGTTCCAGGGCAGAATGCAAGGGCTGTGTCTGTGTGGAGAAGCCAGGAGAAGCTGCCAGTTGTAGTTATTTCTAACTGCAGGAGGAATGCAGACTTGGTAGTTAAATGTTTGCTGATGTGTTATTAGTTACTCCAGTGTATAATTAAAACTGGCACAATCCCAGCCATAAATCTAACCAGCCAGAACACATTATTTTTATCCTGCAGACTGCAATTTATAGTCTCCCAAACGCGTCTTCTTGGTGGTGTGCTCAGACTTGGACAGTGCACTTACAGGTAAATAAACCTGCCTGGCTTGTAGTCCCAAGACAGTGCAGTGTGTGCACTTAGAGCCTTAAATGCTGGCAGGCCATTACATTTATGCATATTCTTCACTTAAAAATATCAGTGGCCTTGTTATTTCCAAGCACATCCTGATTTGTGGGGTATTCAAGGAATTGCCATCTACTCTCCTACTGCTGTCTAGTTAGCCACTGAGCTCTGAGGGGTATTCAGAGCCAGAGCACAGCTCAGAGACTGAAATCTTGACACTTTGACATCAGCAGGAGATTTGCTTGAATCAAGTCTGTAGGATAGATCCTACGGACAGAGACCACAGAAACTTCAGGTTTTGGACAAGGAACTTTTGTAGCTGGGTAGTGCTTGCTGCATTTTGCAGTTCCTCTGAGTTTCCCAGAGGAACTGCAAGATTGCATTTCTTTGAAGTGGGTGGTGGTCTTTCTGTGGAGAAGACAGCGGTGCAGTTGACCAGCAGAGGTCATCCTGGCAGTGGCACAAAGAACTTCCTGCACACCTGTGGCTTTCCTAGTGCCTTCTCTGTATAAATCTTCTGCCTAGCATGTTGGCATAACCTTAATGAACTAAATGCAAAGTCCATTGCAACTCTGACATGCAAATATATTTTGGGGTTGTTATTTTTTTTTCACCAAAAAGATCTTGGAATGGTCCGTGCTCGTTTTATTGTGTGGAAAGGTTAAAATTAAAGGTAAATATTTCACTATTTTGGAAAAGACAAGTGAAACACAAGTTACATTGAATCTTTCTTAGAAAACTGGTTTCTGTAATGTTTCATATAAAGAGGGGGGCGAGGAGGAGTATATTTATACTGTCAAGGCCAAATGTTCAATTTATTGCTGTTCCCAATTTGAGGAAAGATATGTGTAAAAATCTTGCAATTTTAAAATAAAGCTACAAAAGCATTCTACAGCATGTTGGAAAAATAGGTATAGCTTCTTAGCTATGTAGGAATGTCTAGTAAGTAATGCCTAGCTTTCTTATTTTCTAATTACTCAAATTAGATATGGTAACATTTATTTTTAGAATTCTTACATTCAAATTTAGGCAGCAGAAACTACAATTTATTTTACAAAAATAAGTCAATTAACATTATATTATTGAGCAAAGTGAAAAAGCTGACGTAATCATTATAATATGTATTAGTATTAATTGCCATAAGGTGCTTCTCAAAATAGGTTTTTTATTTCCCCTTGCCATCTGTCATTGGCATAAGTTGGTTTAATTTTTTAAATTTTTATTTAAAGCCTATATGTGAAAAGGGGGACATGCTAAGCTCTTTCTTTAAAAAAGCGACATTGATTCTTCCCAACAAAATGTCTCTAGGAATAACTAATTAAGGACACTACTGCTTCAGTTCACATGCTCCTTCCACTTAATTTTCTAGTATGAGAGCAAAGCAATTATTTGGTGCATGTTCACTCTAAAATATCTCCTAAATTTTCATATACTCTCTTCCTTGCTCATTTTTTGTTATGACATTGGCTGCATAGTATACTATATTGGGAGAGAGTTTTCTTGATGGAGGTGTGGCAGTTTTTTAGGGTTAAAAAGTGTTTTTAGGTTTAAAAACTTTTTTTTTAGGGTTAAAAGCCAGCCCCTTTGCTTGTGTTAGTTGCATATGCATTCATATGCAAGCACATGGCAGAAGGAGAGGGATACCATCCTATGTTAAAACATTGGGCTAAACTTTGCTTTCAATTACACTTACTGAGTACTTTTATAAAAGTCAACAGATTGATTTAGATCTACATAGGAGGAATAGAAAACAGAGTTTGCCCCTCACAGGAGCATTGCCACTTAGATAGCAGTGGTATGTGACCATTGCTATTTGTGTCCAGGAGTTGTCACTGTTTGGAGACAGACATCTTCTCAATGACATTCTTGAAAGGTAAGCAAAACATTCTTCCATAAAGAAGAATGAGTTGCACAGGGCAAGGCTTCTAATGAAAACACCTCAATGTCTGTGCTAAAGAGCTTTTTCCTAGAAATAGGCAGCCCAACTGTCTGAGGTGAGGGCCAAGAAAAATTTGGGAACACTTGATTCAATAATTGTCTTAATACTGGTCAATATTAAGATGAAGCCAGTAGAGCATGATCCTTTCCCTGCATTTTTAAGATTGCCATTGACTAAGTGGTCCTGTAATAACTTGATCTCTTATTTCCTTAGAAAAAAACACCATATTTTAGCTTTTACTTTTGGTGTTAAAGTTTAAAAAGGGATTGCTTATTACACAGTGGCAATGACATGGGATTATTTTACTATTTAGGAAACCCTGCAGTTCATAGCAAAGAGGGCACTTTTATATAGGCAAAATGCATCCTAGATGAAATTTACTGTCCCTAGTCCCTTCCTTACAAGGTCTGACTAATAGGAATTGTGGGGTAGACTTCTCACAAAGTGTCTGCAGTGACAGGACTGTAATTCAAGCCTTCTTCAGGGGCTTTTCCTGCCCACGGTGGTGGTATGGTCATAAGGTTTGCATTTTAATGAGCCTTGTATAATCCTTTCCATCTGATTTCCAAACCTCTGTTATATGTAGGCATGGGAGTACCTTCAGTGGTACAGAGAGGTCTAGAAGCTTTGTGTTCCACTGGTCTGATATGCTGCTTCAACTGAGTGCTAGGTTAATAAGAACAGTTATTCACAGCCTTGGCAAAGCACTGCTGTCTGGTGCAATATTATGAGGTAGTACTGAAAAGGACCTCAGGGGTGATGTAATCCTCATCCTTGCTATTGGAGGCACCATATGATTGAATTGCTTTTATAAATTTATCAAACTCTATCTTTAAAGTAGTTAAGTATTTTTCCTGTAACCCATTTGAAAAGCTGGTAAAGAATCTCACTGCTTTAATGTTTAGGGACTTCTTATAACTCCTAACCTAAATTTATTCATGGCCAGCATACACTCAATTGTTCTTGTGCCATTTATCCTTTACCTCAGGGCTGTCCAACTAATGGTCCATAGGCCACATGGGGCTCACAAAAGGTTAAGCTGCAGCCCCAGGTTCCTTCTTGGCCACCACTGTCCCCATCACTCTGGCTGCCTGGCATAGGCAGTGGAAGGGTTGGGGGGAGGGCTAATGGGGCTTAGCCCCCCAAACGCGGGGCAGCGGTAGGGCTGCAAAGCAGCACAACCACAGGCTTCTGGCAGCTGCATCAGGGGTGGGAAATGAGTGGGGCTGGGGCAGGCACTGCACAACTGGTGGGGCGTGGGACTGAGCTGCGAATGGCTCACTGGGGGCGCGGGTCCTGCTGCTGTGGAGGCGTGGGGCTGTGTGCCCCGGATCTGTGTGGGGCAGAGTGGGCTGCGACTTGCTGCAGGCAGGGGCCAGGGTGGCACCAGGCTCTTCCTGGTAGGGGTGGGCTGCAGCCACAGCTTCAGTCTGCCCTGCGCAGACCCGGGGGCACATGCTCCCCATCCCTCCCAAGGTGCGTGCAGTGGCGGGAGCTGCCACCCTCTGCCTGTGCCGGATGCCCTCCGAATGAGCTGCTCATGGATCTGTCCTGTGCCCTGCCCTGGCTGTGCAGGGCAGGGCCTGAATCTTCCCTCTCCCCCTGCCCCTTCCCCCACAGACTTATCTGCTAAAGCGGGGTACATGCACGCACGTGCTCAGTCCCTCCCCCACCCCCCTCAAAATGTTTCTCCCTCTGTCTATGAACAGCAGTCAGAGCCTTTGGGCTCCCTCTCCCTCCTCTGGCTTCCACTTCCTGCTCCTGCCCCAGAGGGTAGGGTGGTATGGGTAGAGATCTGAGGGTGAGGCTCACGCTGTGTGGACATGTGTTGAAGTGGGAGGAAGGGGGTGTGCAGGCACATGGTACATCAGGGAGGTGCTGTCCAGTGTGCAGTTCAGGGTACCCATGACTCTGGCTCTCACTAGTGCTGCCCCTGCTTGTGTGGTCTATGGCCCCTGGCTACTTAGAAGTTGGACAGCTGTGATTTAGCCTAAATAGCTCATTCCCCCACCCCTGGTATTTACTCCCTCACCCCCTATATCCCTACATTTATAGATGTCAATCACATCCCCTCTTAGTTTGTGTTTTCCTAAATTGAATAAGTCAAACTCTTAGTCTCCTCGCAAATTCCAGGCCCTACATTTCGTAGCAGCCATTCTGCAGCTATTTCAGTTTGAGTTTAACTTTCTTGAACATGGTGATGAGAATTACTCTGGATGAGGTCATGCCTTGTACAGTGGCATTAATACTTCCCTGACTCGACTGTACTAATGGCTCCCTTTTTGGTTTTCTATAGTTTCTTGAGTACAAACCTTGATACACTGCCATTATTGGAAATGGTCATATCTGTTACTCATGGGAGGTTTTTTACAGCAGGCCTGAATATATTCAGGGCCTGGGTTACTCTCTCTTTGAGTTAAGTATGTATTTCCAAGCTTCCTTTTAAATAGAACTGTTGGGAGAGTGCATATGAATGATGGTTATTTGGCAATGTA